AATATAATTTTCCACCGAAATTACTGGATGTGGCAATTTCAGCAAAAATATCCTGCTTCCCAACTTCCAACTCTGCACATGCATTCATTGAGTTGATTGCCATTTGAATTCTTGCAGAAGTCTATCCCAGGATTAAATCAAAAGCCTTTTGCAGTTCAAGAGGGGGTTTGGCTTTTATTTTTTTTTGCTCAGGCTGGTGTTACCCCCCCCCCCCCACTTAATTCGGCCCCAAAAAAAATAATAGGCAAAGAATCCCTTTGTTTAAGGGAAGTGTGCACCATCCAACCTTGCCTTGACTTGCCTTGACTTGCCTTGCAATGGGGAGGGCAATTATTTTATCCCCTGTGTTCTGGACTGAGCTCTGTGCCCTGTCCAACCCTATAGCCCACACACCCCAAGTCCTGGCTTTGTGTTAAGGCTCTCTCTCTCTCTCTCTCTCTTTCTCTCTTTCTCTCTCTTTGTTTCAAGTCTGAAAAACTCTGTCCTCTGAGCTCTGGAACGGCCCCAACTGATGCTCTCCTTCATTGGAGCCACTGTTGGGAGCACTCGTCCATGCACACACACACACATACACATGCAACACACACACACACACACATGCAACACACAACACACACAGACACACACAGCCACACACATACAACACACACAGACACACACACACACACAACACACATTTACAGACACACACACAACACACATTTACAGACACACACACACAATACACACAACACACACATGCAACACACAGATAATACACACACACACACACACTGCTGTCCCAAAACGTTGCACATGTTTGATTTCAATACAGGTTAAAATGCAGTCGATTCCTCCAAAACCTCACCAGTTCAATATCAAATAACACTGATTAGTGTAACGCGGCCAAATAACCAACACACTTTTTTTTATATAGAGAGAGAGAGAGAGAGAGAAGAAAAAACACCTAAAACCTCATTTATTAACCTTATTTCACATGTTTGGCGGCGGCATTTGATTGATTTACTTTATAAATTGTTCACACACCAACTCGTGTGTGAATACAAGTGGTTGTCTTTATCGGTCTTTCGAGATGTTTTCTTCATCCATATGATGGTGTGTTGCTCAAGACAACAGTCGAGGAAAAAGTTGTTTTCTTCCCATTTGCTAAACTTTTCGGATCATTGAGAGGACGAGGTTAGGATCATTGTGATCAGCCATCGAATCTCCTACAATTAAGCGTTGGATTTTAATAATAATAATAATAATTAACTGTCTAATATTGCTTTAGTTTGAGAACGAAGAAATAAATCTCTTCATTACTGGGATCAGATCTGAAGTTCATTGCAAAGATGAGGACAACAGTGAAATAAGTCCATGTAGTATCACTTCTGGGAAAATAAAAAAGAGTTCGGGACTAAATGAAATTGCAGCTTATGCAAAACTATCAGATAAAGTGTGTCAAAAAAATACTGTGTCGCAATGTATATGTCGTCTAATTTATAAGAAGAAGAAAAAAGATTGTTGCTCTATTTATTTTTGCACTGTTCAGCTCAATAAAGAGTAGATATATATATATAGAGAGAGAGAGAGAGAGAGAGAGAGAGAGTAATTCTAAATACATGTCCTGTTTAGTGTGGAGGCGTTTCAGGGAGTTGTGCACTGGGGGTGAAAGAGAATAAAGAGAATATGAATGAATGATTGAATGAATGTACTAATTGTTGATAAAATAATGTGTCGTGAAACAATCCTGCGATTGTACAACTGGTGAGAGGTGGAAAAACACGTCCCCCATATCCCACATATTCTCTTCTCGATTCGCATATTTACAGTGGAAATCTCCTCGACCGTTTATTCCCTTCGTTTTAATCTGCAATCGGTCCTCTTGCAATCAAACACTTTTGAATACAATATCAACATTGTGCGGAAATAAACCACTGGTTGAAACACTGTTAAGATTCCCATATACATTGCAAACAGCCTCTCTGACTTAAAACAAGTATACATAACCCGTGGCTTAAAGGAAAATAATAAAAAACCCCCATCGACTAATGCGACTTGAGGACCTTTTAAAGGGATTCGAGCTTCTGGGAAAACAACAAAAATAATTTAACATTATTTAATGAGTATTTTTTTTAATGACAGGGGTCGAATTTGATGAAGGTGTCCAGTTAAAATGGGAAGCCGTGTGTGTGTGTGTGTGTGTGTGAGTGTGAGTGTGAGTGAGTGAGTGTGTCAGTTAAAATCCCAATGAAAAATATACACCTTCAAAAATATTAACATCCAGAATAAATGTGGGGAATTTGGTGGTGCGTTGAGTTTCACTCTCAAAAATATACATTCTGCGAAACGCTGTGGGACGTCTCGACGACGTGATAAGATCCTACATCACCTGCAAGGATTATAATTAGTGCTATCATCACCATCACCATCACCATTATTATTATTATTATTATTTACCATCATGATTGCGATTAGGAATTCTTGCACACGGGTGTGCAAAGACAACACAGAGGTGTGGCCGCCGAATGCCATCAATAACGCCAACACCAACAGTCACATTCAGTTGTCTATCAAACGTTAGGAATTCGCGCGGAATGAACAGAGTAATAAAGACTGTTAAAATGTGACGAGTCTCGGACACTAATTTGCTTCTGTCCCTTTACTGCTATAAACTTCCCTGAATCCAATCTCTCAATGGGGTCACCTTTATTTAGCAATTGGTCCCTTGACTCAACCCCATCAACACAACCCACAGTGATTCTGAGCTTCCAAAACGCAACCCAAGTCAACCACAGGTTGAGTGTTTTCGCCCACAAAATGCATAGTCAATTCACTTGACGGTATATCCTGTGAAGCGCTTTGAGACGCCTCAACGACGTGATAAGGCGCTGTACCAAATGCGAGGATTATTATTGTCATTATTATTATTATTGCATTTGGAGAAACAGAGAAGTCGAAAATGCTGAGACAACAATTGGAGACCTCTCTCTCTCTCTCTCTATGTATATATCTAAAGTCTTTCATAAATTGTATTACCCGTTTCAAGTAAAACAAATGTTTTCTTTTGCAAAAAAAAAAAAAGTCGCATTTTTTTTCTCGCTGGAGAAGCGCAAAGTGATGTGATTTTTTTTCTCCCCCTTTATCTGCAGACAAGAGAGAGGCTGATCTGGTGACATTCAAGAAATGGAGAAATTCTCCTGGTAGCTGTTTCCTTTAATTTATTTTAGTCCCAAGACAGAATACATGAATAAGCGATAACCAAATGCTATCCAGATAGCATGTCGGAAAGAAATCCTTAATTGCATTTCTCATTAGGAAAAAAAAAAGGTACTTAAACTGGTGGAACATTTCTGGTGAAATAAAAAAAAAATGAACACACATACACACATTCACACTCACGCACACACACACACGCACACACTCACACACACACACACACTCACACGCACTTATCTTTGAGGTCGCTTTTTTGTTTCTGATGACAATAATCTTTTAAAAACCAGAGTAATTTCGGTTGGAATAGCATCGGGACCACAGGCGGATCCGTGCACTCTTCGATACGGATCTGCTCAGGTTTTGAACGTCGCGAAGCGTTTGGTAATTACCGCACTCTCTGCGATGCTCCAGTTGTGTGATTAACCCGCACTTGCACTCTCAGTTGTGCCCAAACATCCGTCGCTGTTTCGCCTCCGTCTGTGCTTTTTGCAGTGAATTAAATGCTGCATCGTAAACCCGTGTTGGCCACTGCACTGATGTCCAATTGAAATATTCAACTGGGTGACAGTGTAGGAAAGGTGTGTGTGTGTGTGTGTCTGTGTCTCCATTTCATCAGGGTTTGTATTTGAAGCCACACCAAACAACCTCTTGAAGACATCTGTTTTTATTTGTGTAAACATTAAATGTTCTTTTTCTCTCTCTCTCTCTCTCTCTCTCCCTCCAAGAAAGAACTTCTCAGAAAACATACTCTTTTAAGCATCGCTAAATGTAAGATTACACAATAGAAAAAGGCAGTGACTTTGTGGGTCAAAATGTATACGTAACCGCATACATATATCTCTATACATATATTTTAATATATAAAGTAAAACCTACCATGTATGTAAATACTTTCTTTTAAAAATTCCAACTGAAACATGAATTGGCAACTGTCACCGTTTTACAGACTGTTTTTGGAAGGTAATAATAATAATAATAATCTTTGCATTGGATAAGAGCGCCTTATCGCGTCTTCGAGACATCTCAAAGCTCTTCGCAGAATATACTGTAAAGTGAACTGACTGTATAGTTTGTGGGCAAAGTTAAGGACAAAGTGCTTAGTAACTTGCAGGTGATTTATTTCTTAAAAAGCACTCTGGAAAACCGTCATGGAATAAGAACTGCAGCATGCAAATTCATGTTATAGGCGACAGAAATAATAATAATAATAATAATAATAATAAGATATAAACTTTTTTTATCAACATCGACAGTTTTACATACAACATTTACTTACAAACGAGGAATGTTGAAACGCTCTTTATACAAACACTATGTGTCCCTTTTTTTAAGATACCATTCGGTTTGATACTTGTGGGTCAGATGCTAGGATTCATAACATTTGCCAACAAGATAGCAAAACATTGTGCCTTGCTTTTTTTTAAAAAAACAAAACTAACAGACTACATAGTGTCTGCAATACTATTTCTTAGTTTTTCAATACTGTATAGACATAATCCACCAATAAGATATCAAGTGCCTATGATATTTCCAACGTACATTTATGAAGACAAGTTCCTGCAATAGCATTCACACATGCTTCGCCTTTTTATTTTGCACTAACCACTATTAAAATCTGCATCTCTCTCTCTCTCCCTCTCTCTCTCCATCTCTCTCTTATTTTCTCTCTTTCTCACCCCCCCACCCCCACCCCTCTCACTCTCTTACATCAGCCAAGAAAGACATAGCCACACCCCCCCACCCCAACAAAAATAATCAGAGCCTACAAACTTTCATTTGATAATTTACAACTTTTTTTTTTGCACCCTTTTCAATAATAATAATAATAGTAATAATAGTAACGCCTGGACGCATGTCTCTTCATACACTTGCAGTAATTTGTACAACGTTAATTCTCTTTATTATATATACTACAGAGCAGATTTGCTTTAGACCATAAACTTGGCTGAGGGTACAATCCATTTTATAACACTGCTTCGATGTGAATTTCTATCAAAAAGGTTGAACCACAAGTGACGCATTTATCCCACCCAATATTCGGGGGAGAAAACCTTCATCTCGTCAACAACAACAACAATTAAAAAAAAATCAAAATAGGTAATGAAAAAAACTGTATATACCACGTTGTTGCAGTTTATTTGCTGTGAATCCTTGCCAGTCAGTAACCGAGTTGTCAAGACAAAGTTCTCGCCAAACGCGAAAAAAAAAAAGTTTTCAGGCTTTTTTTTTTGTTTTTGTTTTGTTTTGCAAATGTTTTGCGTTTGGTACCGAAGTTCCATTTGACTGGAGACGAGTCTTTCTCTCTCTCTGTGTCTCTCTCTCTCTCTCTGTCTGTCTGTCTCTCTCTCTCACTCTCTCTCTCTCTCTCTCTGTTGCGTTCTGAGGAGTTGAACATCCTTTCGGATTAGTTTCTGTGTCACTTCTCAAGTGCCTTTGGGGTCTTTGCTTCTCAGAAGGGCAGTGTATCTAGGAAGAGCTTATCGATTATTGTGGGTGGAGGCACCAGGTCTTCCAGTTTTAGGTAGAAGATGCGTTGGAGACCTTGTGTGCACAGAGTGCGAAGTTCTGGCAATTTCCCCAAAAGTTTGGACAAGTAGTTGGAACGGTTCAAGTTCCCGCTGTTGAAAGTTACATGGTCCTTGAGACAGTTCACGATTTTGTTTTGCAGTTCTTCCACTTTCTTGGGTTCCTTCAGCCCGTGTCTCTCTGCCGAGAAAAACACACACAGAGAGACGCATATAAATTATAGTGGTTCCCATTGAGCGCCGCTGCAGTCACAGTGGGACCTGACAATGTGGGGGACATTGGATGAAGGGCGGTGGTGTGTTGTGGTGGGTGGGTGGGTGGGTGGGTGGGTGGTGGGTGGGTGGGGAGGGAAAGGGTTTCATCGCACAATTTTAAGGGGGAGGAATGGGAAAATAAATGCACTGACCTGTTACCATGGCGAGGGCAGCAATGCAGGAGAAGGAAGATATGTCTATGTTCATACTGTGGAGGTTGGAGGAGAAGTCAATGATAGAATCTATCCATTCCCCAAAGCCACGCACGCACTGCAACCTGTGCAGAACTACTCCATTGCAGAAGATCAGTTTGCCTTCCACTGGGTTGGACCTGCAATTAATAATAATAATAACACACTTAATTGCTTCACAGTCAATAAACGTGGGCTTTTAATTACTGAAGAGCTCGTAAAAAAAGAAACCACTCAGATCACTGAAGCTTGCAACAACAAAAAAAATGGGCTGGACATATTGCGGTGCGTTTTGAAGAGACTTTAAAGTACTGTGTATATATATATATATTTTTTAAAAAAAACTAATAACTTGGTCAGGCAATCCACGAATGTTTGTGGGACATTGTGCTGTGTGCAAACCGTTTGCCTCAAAGACGCAGTCAGTTCCCTTTACAGTGTATCCTGTGAAGCGCTTCCAGACATCTCATGATAAGGCGCTCTAACAAACGCAAGGATTGGGATTATTAATACATATGTACATATATATATATATATATTTACCGGTATGCCAGCCTCAGAACAAACAGTTCCAGAAAAGCGGATTCAAAGAGCAAGTCTTGGTCTTCCTTTTGCAGGTCGGCGAAACCAGGAATTTTTTCAGCCCAACCCCGAATAATTTCCATGGAGCCAGTGAGGAGATCATAGAACTGTTGGATGTGTTCTGTATCCCCACCACTCAACTGGTACTCGGTGTTGGCTTGGAACTGGGTTTTCAGAAGAAAGAGAAAAAAAACAACGTGTTAATAATGATAATAATGTCCTATTAAAACTACATCAACGGTGAAATGACATTCCCTCCCTTTTGTACACAGCACCTGATCGTTATTATTATTATTATTAGACTATACTGCTAGCAATTACATTCATCTACTGTTGACCAATTAAGAAAATGCTAATGCCAAAGCAATTAATTCATTAGGGCGTTTTATTTATTTATACGTGGATTTAAATAGCGCAAATAATCCTAACGGTGTAACAGATTAAATAAAACACACACACACACACACACACAAACACCTCTATTCAAAATGTAATAGATGTATATATTTAATTTTAAAGTTGCCAAAGAACGCTACAGCGAATAACCCTTTGGGATATCCCTAAATAAACCCTTTACATTTCCGTTATACAACAGCAGGTTGTTTTAAGACCAGAGTGCAGTCTGGAAAACTGACTAAAAAAAAAACACAATTTCAAAGTAAAAAGATTATTTGTTGTGCACTGTCTGTCTGTGGGGCCGCAATGTAAGTCATAATCAGTAATTGTTTCGTATATATATATATATATATTGATCAATTCTTGTAATATTAATACCAGATGCGATTTTTTTCCCCCAACATATTAAGACTTCTCTTATGTGTGTAATTTTTGTGGTTTGCTGTCTGGTTGGAAAAGCAATTGGAAAGGATTCAACTCACTCATCACTCACTCACTCACTCACACACTCACTCATTCCCTCTCACACTCACGCACTGACTCACTCACTCTGTCACTCACGCACTCACTCACGCACTCTCTCACTCACGCACTCACTCATTCACGCACTCACTCACTCACTCACGTACTCTCTCACTCACCCACTCATTCCCTCTCACACTCACGCACTTACTCACTCACGCACTTACTCACTCACGCACTGACTCACTCAGTCACTGACTCAGTCACTCACTGACTCACTCAGTCACTATCACTCCCTCCCTCCCCTCCCTCCCTCACTCACCCTGGAGTAATCGAGGTTGGACATGGCAGGGTTGGAGTCAACGTGCGCTCTGACCAGGGCTGTGATGAGACTGACTGGAGGAGAAGGTGGAGATGGTTCTTGGGGGCTTTTGGGTTTAGACGGGAGTCGTCCCCTGCGACCCTTGAGGCTGTCTGTGCGGACAACTGGAGGAATAAAGAGACAAATAAAACACTTTATTTTGAGATTTACGTGACTTGGGGGCCATCAGCCCGAAGACAGACAGACAGCTATAATAATTATAGTCATAATTAGTTCTCAAACAGATACACACACACAAGTATAGCTCACATCACCTGAACACATACCTTCTTTCACCATCCCAACCACAAGGCACTTCTGAAAACGACAGTATTGGCACCTGTTCCGGCGGCGTTTGTCGACTGGACAGTTTTTATTTGCTAAACAAACGTATTTGGCGTTTTTCTGGACCGTCCGCTGCAAAACAAAGGTACAATATTTTAGGGTTATTTCATTGAGACGCAGATTTAGTATTATATGCAACAATGATCACAATTGCTAATCAGGCCGACAGCCGTTGTAAAATAAAACAATGATAAACATATTATATATATATATATAAAACAACAGGAACAATATATATAAAATATATAAAAAATATACGCTACATAAGTTACATTTTTTTAAAAAAAATCCGGTTTGATGTCCAGTTCGAAAAGCAATCGGAAGGACTGTTTGTATAATATCTCTTTTCTATGTATTTGTGGCTCAGAGGTTTCGCACCACCTTTAAAGGATGCATCGTGTTGTAGTGTTTCACAATGGGCTCTGAAACCTGTGCCTTTCCCCCCAGTTTCCCGGCTCCATACTTGATATGCGAGGGCGAGAGGAAGGCAGACTTTGGGTAAATATAAATTCGTGGGCATTCATACTATTTACATCCCTCCGAGACCCCTCGATTTAAAACGATAAGATTATTCAATCGCACTGGCGAAATAAAGAGATCACTTTAATTTTACCACAGGGAATTGTGTTCTAGTCGGTTAACTGAGACACGGCTTAATGTCGTTACCAATTTACATCTTCAGGAGTCGGCTCAGTCCCTAACACACAGCATAACACTGTTATCGAGATTTTTTTTTAAACACACACACACACACACACACACACACACAAAATCTAGTGGCTAAATATAATCAATTAGTGTCGTCTGAATTACCCCCAAATTAGTAATCACACAGTCTTTTCTTAGATCCATTAACTCAACCATCGCTACAATATCTGTGAGAGGTCTCAGCGACGTGATAAGGCGCTGCATCACATTGCGGGGCTCACTGTCACCGTATAGCTTTACACCCGTTTAACTAATCTGCGGGAGTTGGTGAACGTTTGAACACGAACTGGGTTTAAGGGAAAAAAAAAGAGAAAATAGCAACAAACCAAAAAAACCGCAACGCAACAATCATTACCCAACATTACCCAACATTACCCAACATTACCCAACATTACCCAACCCTAACCCCAACCCTAACCCCAACTCCAACCCCAACTCCAACCCCAACCCTCTGGTCTTTCTCATTTATTCTTTCATCAACAGCCGAGGTTTGGATCAGCGTTTTAAGGAAAATTCACCTTGAAGAAGCCTTTACAGCCCTCGCAAGTGCGCACTCCATAGTGTTGACAGGCGGCGTTGTCTCCACAAACTGCACACAGACCCTCATTGGATGGAGAGTTTCGAGATGGAGGTGATGGCACTTGACTGTCCATCAGTTGAGAGCCGTGGCCATGGCCGTGACTAATCTGCAGACCAGGGAAGCCCATGGCAGCCTGTTTCCTGATGGGGTTGGGGACAGCGAAGTTCTGGTTGTCCAACACGTGATGGGGGGCACCTCCTGTCTCTGGGTTCAGGTGATGTCCGTGCAGAGGGCTGTCAAACCTCATCTGACAGCTGGACACCGGGGTGCCGGGAGGAGACTGCTTGAAGGAGAAAAGAGAGAGTCTGGAGACAGAGACAGGGTTCTTGCGCTGGTCTATCATGTGGGTGGTGGCCACATAGTTTGGGGCGAAGCTGTGCAGGGAACTGGGGTCGTCCCACATGGGGCTGTGTTGGAGCTGGAAGTTGGGAGTTGTTGGGGTGGGCGGTGGGGATGGCTTGTAGTACATGGAGCCGGAGTGAGAGAGCATCTCCTCTGATGGGTGCTGTAGGTGGCTCTGTTGGTGATAGCCATGCATCTGCATGTCCTCGATCTTGATGGAGGACTGTTGGCCGGACAGTGGCATCTGGTACAGACAGGGGGGTTTGACATCGTAATTGTTGCTGTAGTTTTCCATGAAGGTGCTGAAACTTGGCAGGGACGTGGTGGCTGTGATTTCGGTGTTGGTGAGATCCATACTGAACTTGACGAACTCTGGCGTTAGGAAGTCAGAGCTATATTCCCCACTGTGGTAGCTGTAGTTCTGAGACGCAGGACTAGCTCCTTGTGGTGAAGACCCATACTGAGCCTGAATACAGGGCATGGCTGTAATGAAACATCTCAACATGTACTCATACGTTTAGACACAAACGTTCCCCCCTAATACTTCTGTCTAAATCCTCTCCTTTATCAACAACAACAACAACAAAAAACACACGCATCTCTAAGCCACATTGTTAGATTTCAGCATTCATTTTCTTGAAACAATGCTATTTATTTACCCTGAAGGGGTTTGTACACTTGCAAAGGCGTCTATTCTCTCAGAAACTCCAAGGTGGAGAAACAATTTAGCGCCTTTCACTTGTTAGACTTCTTCTGCGGATAATCCCACTGGATTTTAGGCGATTAATGCAGATTTTCTTATTGGTATACGTGTAATAGAAGTATTCTAACTGAACTGAAACAGTCACAACTTGTAGATGGGTAACATATATATATTATGTATAAAAATAAGACGTACAGAAATTTCTATTCCGTGAGCGGCGCTAATTTTTTTTTGTTGGTTAAATAAAACAAAATGTATTGCAATGCAATTTTAGTTCAAAACTATTTCAGGAATTAATTAACAATCTGAACAGCTTATTTTTTTTTCCCCCAAACATAACGTACCTTCAGCCAAATGACTGGGATGGTGGAAGAAATAGAAAGCGGGAGGTGTTGTGATTTCCGTTCCTCGACAGAAGAAATTCAGAATATGTTTTTTTCCCTTAAATCAGCAATTCAGCAATTGAAAGTGGAATGAAATGTATATCTGAAAACAGATGGGGAAAAAATATATATATAATGGTTTACCCACACCATCACACTCACTGTTAAATAACTAAAAAATAACACAATAGAAAAAAAACAGATGTCAATTTCTAATGATTTTTGATTTGGACCCAAAATACACCTTACTTAGCCTGCCTTGGGCAAGACATTTTAGCTTCAATGTGATATATTATTTCTCTGGTTTATTTAAACAGTTACTGATATTTTCTACATTATCTAATATGTTTACTTTCGCACAAACTCTACCACTGCAATACGTTGTGCTTTTTAGATATTAAAACATCTGATCATCTTTGGAAGTTACATATCACCTTTCCTTGTACATTTGATTCAATTTCTCTCTTTCTCTCTCTCTCTCTCTCTCTCTACGCGTTTTAATTGCAAGAAGCAGCCCCAAATACCAATGGCGTCTTTAACAGCTCTCTTAAATTACATTGCATCGTATATCACTTGATTAAAGTCCCAAATACTTTTTTTTCCCCATTAAGCGCAGATCTAAAGAGGAAACATATTTGTTTCTGAGAAGTTTAAGGGGAAAAAAAAAAGTGACCAGCTTTGCTCTGCTCTGCTCTGCTCTGCTCGATACAGTGCTGGCAATGAATTGACATCAAGTTTACCGAGTTTCAGATACAGAAAGAAATGTGTGCAATAATGTACACGAACTGTCATTACACATAAAATAGCTATACACCGCATCGCAAAAAAGATAGTCAGAGAGGAGGACGACAGATTGCACTACTGCTTCCAAATAAATGCTTGTGCTGTCACAAGCGCACACTCAACCCGACACACAACAATTATATAAGGTTATAAATGATACCAATTATTGCTCACACCCAATGTATTACTTCCTTTGCTAAACTGTTCATCGGCTATGTGGTCAACTGGGAGGAATCGGGTCCAACAACGGATGCCAGTGATTCGCTTGGAAATACTGTAACTTGGAACAACATCCATCTGTGCTCTGTGTGATACTCGACTTAAATACCCCCCCCCCCCCCCACCCCCCCCCCCCCCCACCCCCTCCTCCCTCTGGTATTTTAAACGGGAATCAATTCCGCCGCGTCTTGTAAAAGGTGTAGTAACTTTCCGAAGTGACAAACCAGAAGCTCAGCGGCTCTCCTCCACTGAACGCTGTTCCCTATCTCCACAAACACCGGGTTTTGATTCATTTCCAAGAAGCAATAATTACAACAAATCTCGAAGCAGGTCTGAGACTGAACAGAACCCCCACCCCCCCCCCCCCCCCCCCCACCCCCACCCCCCAAATACACCGGTCAACCTGCAGTAAACGTGATGCTTAAAGGGTAAATGGCATTACCGGTGCCAACACCTCGATCTAACTTGTTGCCCACTCCCGAATAATAGAGCCCAACACCAGAGCAGTGCTGACAGACACACAGACACACAGACACACACACAGACACACAGACAGACAGACACACAGACAGACACCCTGTAGCATCCGCTGTGCTCTCAGCCTCCCATCCGCACAGTCACAACACGTCCCCCCCATAGACACTCGAGCTCCGTCTGTCTCTTAATCGGGTTTCACTCCATCGCAACACACAATACACGTGTCTCTGAGGTCCCACTCAGTGGTATTGAGAGGTGAGACTGACTTTAGGTGAGACTTACAGGTAAAAAAAACACCACCACCACCACCACCACCACCACCACCACCACCACCACGCGGCCCTGCCCGACCCTCGGTACCACTCTGACACTTCTGCGGAAAAGTGAAGAGTGGAGTGGACTTAAATAAATTAACAAAAAAAAACACTCTTTCTGATGAGGAGCGTAAGTAACCACGAGCCTAAGAGAGCCGTAACGGTATAACAAATGACTGCCAATCCCGAATAGAGTTGTGCAATTCACACTCACACACACACAGACACTCTCACACACACTCACACACACACACACACACAGCAGCTTAATTCACAGCATCTCTGAGAGAGACACAGAGACACACACAGAGAGAGAGAGAGAGAGAGAGAAGAAATTCCAGCAAATCAATCGCAATCAGTGCATTAAAACCTAAACAGCGAAGACAGAAAAAAAAAATCTCCTGGAAATCGCATCCACGTCTGGGAACACACACACACACACACACACACACACACACACACACAGCCCCGACATTTGCCGTATTAAATACACACCGAAAAGAAGCAGTAAAAACAGTTCAATACCTACTTGTATCAATGTCCACTCTCGCTTCTCATTTGGGATGGATGTAGAAAGAGAGAGAGAGAGGGAGAGGGAGAGGGAGACAGAGAGAGGGGAGTGGGGGTGGGGGGTGGGGGGTGTTTGTGGTATCTGTCAAACAACGTCGCTCCCCAAACCAACAAGACAAGAGCATTAAGTTTGAAGTGTAAGAGTGTTTGGGGGGGGGGGGGGGGGGGGGGGGGTGACAAGTTACAGTATAGAGAGAGAGAGAGCAGGGGGTGCACAGGTTACTTGTCTCTGTGTGTGTGTGTGTGTGAGGGTGTGTGAGGGTGTCTGTGTGTGAGGGTGTCTGTGTGTGAGGGTGTGTGTGAGTGTCTATGTGTGTGTGAGTGGCTCAGGGTTGGCTGCTGGTGCTGTGTGGGAGGGTGTGTGGGTGCTGTGCTGTGTGGAGGGTGTGTGGGTGCTGTGCTGTGTGGGGGTGTGTGGGTGCTGTGTGGGTGCTGATCGAGCCGAGCAGACAGACACAGACACAGACAGACAGACAGACAGACACAGACTGACTGACTGACTGTCCGCGGACTGCAATGTGCCTTTGTTTATGTGAGTGAGTGAGTGCGGCGTTGGGAGCGGTAAACCCAAAGTCTCCGCGCGTCACTGCGCGTCAGGGCCGGGCTCAGCCCAATGAGTGCCGGGGGTCGGGCCGGCGACACCCCCCCCCCCCCCCCACAGGCTCTCACTTTGGTAAATTTCCGACGTGACGTTAACGTTCACACTTTTATTTTTTAAGGTGGTTTTTAGGGCCATGACTTGAGGCCACATTCTCACCTCTCCCCCCCCCCCCCATCCCCCCCATCCCCCTCCTCACCCCCTCCTCCCCCCCCCCCATCCCCCCCCATCCCCCCCCCCATCCCCCCCATCCCCCTCCTCCCCCCCCCCCCATCCCCCCCCATCCCCCTCCTCCCCCCCCCCATCCCCCCCCCATCCCCCCCCCCATCCCCCCCATCCCCCTCCTCACCCCCTCCTCCCCCATCCCCCCCATCCCCTCCTCCCACCCCCCCATCCCCCCCATCCCCCTCCTCCCCCCACCCCCCCATCCCCCCCCATCCCCCTCCTCCCCCATCCCCCCACCCCCTCCCCCCCCTCCCCCCCATCCCCCCCCCCTCCTCCTCCTTTCTCTCTCTCTTCAAAACATTAAAAGCCTTTCCCCCCCAAAAAAACACACCACCGGTTAAAATTGGGAACCTGTTTTTTATTTTATTTTATTTTATTTTATTTTTTTTTATTTATTTATTTATTTATATTTAGAGCTTATTGATCTTTGTTATTTTTGTCACTTACTTTTTTTTCTGCTTAAAATAAGATTTAAACCCGGTTGTGTCACTTGTTTTATTGGACTCGTCGTTTCTCGGGTCTTGTGGGTTTCATCACTCCATGTGATGTGTTTACACAGTTGATATATATTGTATAGTATAGTGTATATATATATATATATATTGATCGATTGATTGGGGGGGGAACCTATCAATTGAAATGATTCTCAGCTCCAAAAGGGGTGGGTGGTGGTGAGTGGATTGAAGTTGAGGATCTGTGGCTTTTTTTTTTCGCACACATTGTATATTCAATGGGGGGGAATAATGGGATGTTTTGCTGTGAATGAACCGTGTTATAAATCCTGGAGGATCCCCTGGATTGCTGTCTGGGGTGTCTGGGGATCTGAGTGGGAAAACACCCTCGAGTTGTGAAGTATAAGACGTGAAAGTGATGATAATAATAATAATAATAATAATACATGTCCTGGGTTGCAGGCAGCAAAGGAAAAGTTTCGAGGTTTGAACCAGACTTTATGGTGAGTTCCAATTCCTGCGTTTGACATCATTACTCCGCAGCGATGTATATTAATGCTATTATACGTTTTAAAATCGCAGCGTATGTAGTAATTGGGTGAAAGTGGAATTAATGTGGGAATACACGGATGGGGACTGGTTTGGGGAGGACGTCTCTGGTGACTTATCGTTTCAGTATTATACATTGACACAATTGCTCCGCAAATGTACTGCAGTATTGGGATGATAATGCATGTTTTTTTTGGGGGGTAACAACATGATAACATGTAAAGAGTTGCAGGATGAAAGTGGAAAGAAATGCAAAAAGAAAACAAGAATAGCCGGGGTGGGGGCTGGGAGCTGGGCTGGGGGCTGTGCTGGGCTGGGGTGGGGCTGGGCTGGGCTGGGGGCTGTGCTGTGCTGGGGTGGGGGCTGTGCTGGGGTGGGGGCTGGGCTGTGCTGGGGTGGGGGCTGTGCTGGGGCTGGGGTGGGGGCTGTGCTGGGCTGTGCTGGGGGCTGTGCTGGGGTGGGGGCTGGGCTGGGCTGGGGGCTGTGCTGGGGTCTGGGGGCTGGGCTGGGGTGGGGGCTGTGCTGGGCTGGGGCTGGGGTGGGGGCTGGGGTGGGGGTGGGGGCTGGGGTGGGGGTGGGGCTGGGTGGGGGCTGTGCTGGGGTGGGGGTGGGGCTGGGGTGGGGGGTGGGGGCTGGGGTGGGGGGTGGGGCTGGGCTGGGCTGGGGGCTGGGGTGGGGGGTGGGGGCTGTGCTGGGCTGGGGGCTGTGCTGGGCTGGAGGGTGGGGGCTGGGGTGGGGCTGTGCTGGGCTGGAGGGTGGGGGCTGTGCTGGGCTGGAGGGTGGGGGCTGGGGTGGGGGGGGGGGCTGTGCTGGGGTGGGGGGTGGGGGCTGGGGGCTGGGGTGGGGGCTGGGGTGGGGGGTGGGGGCTGTGCTGGGGTGGGGGCTGGGGTGGGGAAGCCTGGTGACTTGCTGTAGCTCTCGGCAAGACGGTGGCCTTCTGACACGATCGCTCCACAATATAATACAATAACACACAACAGAGGTTTTACAGTGGTTAAGGGGTGTGTGTGTGTGTGAGAGAGAGAGAGAGGGGGTGTGTGTGATGGTGGGGGGGGGGGGGGGGTGTGATGGTGGGGGGTGGGGGGGGTGTTTGTGTGTGGGGGGTGGGGGGGGTTGTTGTGTGTGAGGGGTGGGGGGGTTGTGTGTGAGGGGTGGGGGGGTTGTGTGTGAGGGGTGGGGGGGTGTTTGTGTGTGGGGGGTGGGGGGGTTGTGTGTGAGGGGGGGGTGTTTGTGTGTGGGGGGGGTTGTGTGTGGGGGGTGGGGGGGGGTTGTGTGTGGGGGTTGGTGGGGGGTGGGGGGGGTTGTGTGTGAGGGGGGGGGAGAGGAAAGTCTGGTGACTGACTACCTTTAGCCATGACAAGCAGCAGAGGGGAGGGAGGAGGAGAGGAGGAGAGGAGCCACACAGCAGCGTCAGCGGCGGCTCTCACACACACTCCCACACGTGGGAGAAGGTGTCTCTGTTGTATCAATGAACGAAAAGGAAAATGTGAGCGCGCGCGTGACGCAGGTCACTGACGCAGGGCCCCGGGGGCGGGGGCGCGCCGCCAAAAATAGCAGCCGCGGCCGCGCGCACTCACAGGCAGAGAGGCGGCCGCGCGCACTCACACACAGAGGCGGACACGCGCACTCACTGCCAGTCAGTCAGACACATGCTATGTTATTATTATTGTATTATTATTATATTATTATTATATTGTTATATTATTATAATTATATTATTATGTTATATATTATTATTATATTATTATAATTATATTATTATTATAATTATATTATAATTATATTATAATTATATTATTTAATTATATTATAATTATATTATATTATAATTATATTATATAATATATATATTATTATAATTATATTATATTATTATTATAAATAGTATATTATTATAATTATATTATTATTATATTATAATTATATTATAATTCTATTGTGATAGTTATATTATTATTATACTATTATAATTATATTATTATCATAATTATATTAGTGTATTATTATACTTATATTGTTATGCTTATTATATTATTATACTGTATTATATATTATATTAGTATATTATATTGTATTATTATGTTATATTGTCATATTATGATATATTATCTTAGTATTACATTATTATACTATTGTTATCTTAGTATTATATTATTGTACTATTGTATTATCATTAATATTGTTATATTATATTATGATTTACTATGATTTATAGGGTTTAACATTGTGTGTGTGTGTGTGTGTGTGGTGGGGGGGGGGAGGGGGGGGGGGGGGACTTGCTTGTGTGTGTTGCAACTGGTGAAAGTGGAATGACTAACTCACTAAATAAATAACTACCTAAATAAAACACCCAAATTAAGGCATGTATTTAAGGCTTTTTTTAAAAAAAAGATTTATGCTGCTTTAAAGGTTACAGTAATGATAAATAATTGTTACAATCATTCTTATTGTATGATATTCATATTGCACAATGATAAATGATACTAATTGCGATAACGGTGAATAACAGTACAATTATTATTGTATAACATACACTGCATTATACTATTATTTTATAATACATTTATTATGTAATTATTATGCTGAGGTTTTTTTCGTGAAGCCTTTAGCAATATTTGTAAAAAGGACATCATATCTCACTAATTGCATGTTTTTATTTTGCATCCTCTCTCCCCACCTCCCACCTTCCCACCCCAGGACCATCACAGACACACACACACACACTTGAACACCCCACCCCACAGGTTTGTGTTGTCGTCAGGGTGGTGCAGTGGATGTCACTGTGTGTTGCTGCTGTTTGTGTTGCATATTGAACTCTTTTTCCAAGGCTGTAATGTTGAACCCCCACCAACACACAAAAAAAAACTCCCACTCTCTCCTGCCATCAACTTGTCAGAACAAAAACCACAAGCACATTGGCAGAGATTGGCAGTCTCTGTTAGCTCTGTGGAAGTAGGCGACAATTCCAGAGGCAATGTATACATCAGCTCTTCATTTTTAGCTTAGTTCAAGTTACAGTCGCACTGAAAAAAAAAAGACCAGTGGTGTGGATGGAACATCTTCTACTCACTGAGCTAACCTAGTAATTACCGCAAGCTATGCCAGCGATTTACTTTTCAAATCAGCCTTTTCTTCTGCTTTTGTTTGCGATGAAATAGTCAGTCATAAACTGTCAGTACTATTACCGTGACAAATACCGCACGAACGCACAAGACAAAAGACTACATGGGCCCGGCGTGGCATTAAAGCGACCGCAACGAGATTGCATTTGTAGGGCGGCTTTCTTATGGTTTAAGAGATTTTCCTTTCACGTCGGGAGGACGCGAAAGGAAAATCTCTTAAAGCATAAGAAATAAACCCAAAAATAAGAACGTGGGCAAAGTAAGCCAGTCAGTAAAAGTGAAGTCATCTTCCGAGCAAGCGCTTCAGTGAGAAGGATAAACAATCGAAAGCGGGAGTGTTGGTTGGTTCAAGCGGAAACACCCCGGTCGCAATGCTACGTTGCCGCTGACTTGACTGACCACTTTCTTTGCCGTTTTGCGTCGTCTGGAAACCGCACGAATCCATTCAAATGGAAACGGAACTGGCGCAGTTCCACCGTGCGACCAGGGAGAGGCGCTCACCTTCACCCTTCAAACGCCGAGGTGTTTTTTTTTAAAAAAACTTTTTGCTCAAACCCACAGCAATTCAATTTAAAAAAAAATTCACCCGCAAAAATGTGCCGTCGCTGCACGCTACAATGCATTCCGTCAAGCGCTTTGGGGATGTCTTGAGGACGTGATGAATCGCTAGAACACATAACAACAAATTACATTTGTATCGCGCCTTTCACGTCAGGACGCCCCGAAGGCGCTGGGATATCAAATGCAATGATTATGATTTATTATTATGATAAATGGACCATTTGAGTAAAACCTCATTGTGTGTGCTTGTCGGTATTAACTTGGGTCTATAGAATCAGCAATAGGGAGGGGGATGGCTTTAATTAAACGCAAACTAGAAATGGGTCTAATTCCAATGTACTGCCATACACTGAAAATCACAGGCAATTTGTGCACAGAAACTGTCCCACAAACAGACATGAAGTGAGTGACCAATTTTATCTTGTAGGGGGGCTGTGGGGGGGTGATGGTGGAATGGATGTCACAATGAGTTGAAGCAGTACTTACAGTCAGTCTACTTTAATAACGAAGGCCTTGCTGAAAATCTTTAAACATTTATTATTACACGCACTTAATTCATTGTGCAACAGCAGTGCATAATGTCAAACCACTTCAATACGTGTTTAATGACAAATACTTTAATATATTCTTCCTTCTTGTTGGGTTCTCTCTGACACATCCAGAAACATCCACATGGGGGGGTGTGGTGGGGGGTAAGAAATGAAATAAAGCAGAGGACACAGTTAAATAATTTACTAATATCCACTGCCAATTTTATTGATAAACAATGCAACACATTTTTAAAACACATAAATGCTGTTAATAATAACAAATGCTGTGGAACTACAGCAATAACTGTTAGGGAATGTTATGCTTTGAAGTAGATTGAACAAATTAATGTAGTAGTGAAAATAGAGTGCTACAGAAACAGTTGGCATTATGTTTCTAAATGCATGGGTAGTGGCTTAAGACCTGATCTTACTTTGGAAGGGGAGAAGAGCAGGTACAAAAGAGATAATTTGTCAAATAACCAGAGTGTTGTGTGAGTGTGTGACACAGAGAGAGAGAAAGGGGTTAGTATTAAGTAAAGCTTAAGGAAATTATACATCTCCCAACATCCTCCCCCCAATTAGGTTTGCAAAACTGACATTAGAATTTTAAGCAACTAAAGTACACAGGTATACAAAATTACGAGTGCAAAATTTCCAGACAGATTATCATTAAAAATGGATTAATAAATGTAGCTTAGAGCCTACACTTAACCCAGTGCACAAGAGTTGACAATTCGTGCACAAACTCCTCATTTATTATCAATTATAAATTAATTCAAACCAAGCTCTAGGGTGGTACAATATTATCAAACTGAAAATGAACAGCAACAAATGTGATCTGGTAAGAGTGACTATTGTCTAACTAAATAACCATTGTCAGTTTCTGATCAATATAAATTATTTACGCAACAGTAAATCTTCTTGGACGCAAGTATGGCTAATTTCAGTGGTGTTAAGATTCATATAATTTTGCAACTGGTTTAAGCATTTTGAGTAATTCTGCACTGCAATAAACTAAGGAACTTTCACCATAAACCAAAACAATGCTGAATTTACACCATAAGTTAGATTTCAGGCAGGGAAGTAGTCGGGATGGTACAATTGCCCTTTGTGCATCTGGGCAAGAGGGAAGGAAAAAAAATAAATCAGCAACTGTTCCTGCTCCTGATTGCTATCAAAAGTGCATGCGTGTGGCTATCGAGTGAGAACAGGTTTGACAAGGATACACTTCACAATCAAACAGCCTGCTGACACTCAGTTCAAAGTATCAGAGGGCTGTCAACAGCTTTGGAATCCAGCAATATTCATCATCTTCAGTAGAAATGTATTGCACGTTTTAGAATCTTCACTAAGAATTGGGCTATGACTTAATTTTAAAAGGAATAACTTTTTGAATTGTTTTGGAATTTTGAACTGCATACCCATCAGAAACATTAAAACGATTGCACCATCAAGAAATTAAAGATTAAGGTTTTAAAAGCAAACTGCAGTTGGTGTGTGTATATGTCTATAATGATGCAGATTGTATTTATAACGATTGAAACATTGATTTGCGATGAGGTCAAAATATAAAACACTTTATTTTTTTAACATACACACACACATACACACACACACAGACATACCTTCAACAGTGTTGATCAGGAGAAATATCTATTCTGAAAATAATTACTAAAAAATCTTGATTTGGAATATAACAGGACTATTCTTAAATTGGTGCTTGTTTTCAATAAATATTAAGTGAAACCTTGCCAAAATTGTGTCTTTCAAATACCTGTCCACGTCTATTCGTTGTTGCAGACCAGCCATTGGTGAAGTAAATACAGGCAATACAGATATAAATATAATTCTATTTTCCGATAGTTGATGACTTCCATGCCTCCTCTCAATTTGACCTTTCTGTCCTGACAATCTTCACCGCTCAGCCGCAAAATCACCTCCTGTCTGAGATTTTCTCTGTCACGTGTACCCTTTAACATCCATTTGCAGCATGACATAATCTGCTAATATTAGCTGAGACTTCGCAAACGCAATTTGTGATTTAAAATATTCAACTGCTTCATGTTAATTTTCTTGGTCTCATTCTTCTTGTCTAATTTCACATAAGGGGCTTCTCTATAAGAGTGTTAGTGTTTGCCATTTGATGCTGCATTAGTGGCCCCTTTTTATATATATTTGTTGTTCCGTTTTTTTGTGTATGTGGTGGGGCAGGCGGGTGGGGGGAGGGGGGACACATCAGTCTTTTTGTATTAGGATAATACAAAATCATTTACACAGCTCTATCATCACACATTACTTCTCTGTGCCACACACATGTATGCTGCTGTGCTAAAACAAGCTAGTAACCACAGCATTCTCCAGAGTTCAAGGAAGAGACTGAAATAGAAGAAAAAGATGTTAATCAATTATTAGGGATTTCAAAAGAAAATGCAATACAGATTTATATGGTTCAAATTAGGAGAAGTTGGCTTGACAACGGCTCAGTTGGTAAATGTACTCTGAATCTCTCATTTCACTGATATAAATACTGTATAAGTCTTATATTTATAAATCGGAAACACCTAAATGGTATATTCACCCGAGTCCCATTCAGTTTCTTATCAAAAACACTTAGAATTTTCTACACCACTCATATTACTCATCTCCTAACTCATAACACCGCTCCCCTACCTTCCATTATTCCCACGCTTACCGGAGGCCTTGAATCGACGTCCTGACCTCTCGTGGCATGCCGCCCTACCAGCTGCGTGCCCACTTACCAACATTGAATCGCAGGAGACAACTTGGACTTCGGGTAAGTCATATTAAATGTTATGGTCTCAACCGATACGACTTATGTGAGTTTTACTGTAGTAAGAAGAGTTACAATTGGTCAATTGTATCTCGGGGGGGGGGGGGGGGAGAGAGGACATATCAGCCAGGGTTTTTTCCCCCACTCAATATGTATCAGTATCAAGTTATTCCCAGGTCAGGCAAGTACACCAAACAGCAAAGCTCCCTTTATTCTACCCCCAACAAAGTGACTAATCCTAAAAGTACTCGTATGACACAGAGTGCATTTTTCCACTTCCCACACCAGGAATTCCTGTGGCCACTCACGTTTGATTGCCAAATTTGTGTTGAATTAAGGCAGCTTTGTGCTGTGGATCTATACCCATGAGGAACTCTGTTTGACGGCACATTTAGTGTAGGTACTGCAGCGCTCCTTCAAATAAAGTCTCTACAGTGCCCTGCTGTGAATTATACGTTGGGCCAGACTCCATAACACCAGGGTGCAATTGGAAACATTCCACGCACAAACTCACAGATGCCCAGACGCACTGATTAAGACTTGCTTTCCAGTTGTGGACATTCCTCCCTTGTCTGGGAACAACAACAAATTACATTTGTATAGAACCTTACAAGTCAGGAGGCTGTAAACTGGCCAGTGTTACAAAAATAATATTGGTCTAAATAAATGACTTATGACCACAAAATAAAGGCCACCATTGCCAGGAGATATCCCTGTACATTTAACAGCATGAGACAATTAACCGCCACTATTAACTATTACACCTTATAGTCAGGCAAGAAGCTTTTTGCTGCATCAAGTCTCATCCAATGCACCATGAAAAGTGCAGTATAAATTGGGATTCAGGTAGTATGGACACATGAGCACCAATAGAATTGTGCTTCACTCCCAACTGATCCTTTAAAAGTTTAGAACTTTCAAGAGACACTCATCTTTAAAATGTTATTAATGAGTTTGTCACACAAACAGCTCTTTCAGCTGAAAAAAAAACAGCATCGCATTTCGAGTTTTGATTTAATGAACAGAACCACAGAACTGTTTTCTTTTAAATACCTCAAACACATATCACTTCCAGCAGTATATGTAGAGCATTAGAATAGCCTCTGCCAATACCGTCACAACTGCAGAGCTGACACACAGAGCACTTACCAACAAGGAGCTTTCTCGTGTTATTTTTCAAAGGATTTGCTGCATTGCTCCATTTTATTGAAGTGTAGCACATATTGTTCAGAGCAAACTCAAATTCATTCTTGCCTGGTAATAGACTAGCTGAAAAAGATCCTTACCAGGAATGAAATGAAATGCAATAGCTGTGGGATAGAACAGCATATGGTTTCAGCAGACATACTGCACTCGTCACCACAGAATGGCTTACGTCAGTGAATCATCCAAATTTAAGCCATCTGCGGTGCATGTGTAGAAGACTTACCTCACTTAAACCAGATGAACTGTCCATATACAAAACTAATGTCAGTCTGAAACATGGCCTCTGTAGGCAAAAAAGGAAATGAAATATAAATACTAAAATATTCACCTAACACTTTAAAACATAAAATGTTTTTATTATGTACATCATCTGCACACAAAGGCTTTCCCAATCCCATCACAGATATGTACCAAGTGCAATACATTTATACAGTATATTTTATAATATCAAAAAATCTGGATTCAAAGCTAGAATTTTTCTGTAACGGTACACTGGGAAATGGAGACTGCACACAATTCTGAAACATACTTGTATCGTACAAATAAGCATCAATTCAACATTATTTCTGATTTAAAATGCATTATGAATGAAGCATAAGCATATCAATTGGATCCAATACACAGCCTAAATGCAGCACCTTGTATGGTCCACAATAAGTTATTTTAAGAAAAATACACTAAAAATCTAGATTTAAAAAACAAATTACGCTTCTTAAAATTTACTATTGTCAAAATGAGTGTCAGTTTTGCACAATCTAATCTATTCCCACTGAAACAAAGTTTGCATTCGTCAAACACAAGTTTATCCAATTATTGGTTTATTCATAACATCATATTTCACATAATACACTTGTGTTTGTAAGCATCAGAGAATCTCTACATAGACCACTCTTAAATCTACATTCAGATTTCTTCCACCAAGTCCTTCTAATAATTGTTGAGAACTGAAAAGATTTAATTGACTAACATTTTAGATAACTAATGTTTTTGTAGGGTCGGAAGTACGCTGCATTTTGGCAAAGGGGGGGGGGAGCTATTTGAAGCACAAATCAGACGGTTATCGTGCAAAGACAAGCACTTAAAGTGTTATTTATCATTATCCCTCGAAATATATGATGAACTGGTCACACCGCCACACACATCATTCTGTGACAGAAAATCCATCTTTGCCACTGAGATATCATTGTAATTTCACACAGATTGTGCATGATTGATGCTACTTGGGGTTAAAGGCTAAATGGATCATATGGCGACACGTTGCTTTCCATATGTTTACATGCCCGACCATGCTTAACCATTTATTAGACAACATCTGTACCCCCACGTGGATCCCACTGTGCCGAACAGAAACATTTTATTTCCATTGCATTACAACTCCACATCCCTTCCCCCAACCAAACCACTGGATAACCACAACCACTGACGCCCACTTATTTATTCTTCCTCCACAACAGTGCGACAGAGAGGACTGCAAACCTCTGATAATAATCATTATCATCATCATTATTGTTATTGAATTCATCTTCTGTGTGGGTTTTTTTTTTAAAAAATCCAGTCTTGGAAACGTGCTGGAAGTCAATAATTACACTGGAACTGCCTCACTGTGCAACACAAGGACCCGCGGGGGCTCTCATCTGCATTTCTCGCGTTAAATCGCGATCAGTCACAGCGGCAAAAAAAAGGGGGAAACGTTGGAACATTGGAACAAAATATATCAAAGCGTTTGACACATCACCTTTGCAGCTCAACTCAACTCTGAACGTCTCCCGGAACACTGACTTGAAAGGGATGAAGTCTTTTGATCGGAGGGGAGGGGGGGGATTTTTTTTTGAGTTGAATTGGACCCATTTTCGTATTAAAAAGAAAAAGGTTTATCAATTCAGGTAGGAAGAGACATGACTATATGTATACGTGTATGTGTATATATGTGTATATGGAGACTGCAATAAATAATGTACACCAAACACTGCTGGTGGTTGGAAAAAACAATACAGCATTAAGCAATGCACCAACACACACACACACACACAACGATGCTTTTCTTTCTTTACTCACCATCTCGCAGAGAGTGTGGGAGAAGCAAAGTCTGGGATAAGGATTGTGAGGCAGGAGCTTCCTCCCTCGGAACATGTGAGTGAGAGAGAGTGTGTGTGAGAGAGAGAGAGAGAGAGGGGTTTATGTGTGTGTGTGTGTGTTGTGCGCTCTCCAGGATCCCCCCCTTGAACGCGCGTAACTAAAGCGTAATGCAAATGGCGCCGCTCCGAGAGCGCGGTCTTTGCTGCATTGTGTGGCTGAAAGGGATGGCCGGGGGGTTGGGGAGGGGGAGGGGGTGTGGGCGGGCAACACACTCTTCAGCTTAGCCAATACAGTACACACAGGGCCTCAGCATCGCTCCGTCTGTCCCATGTTCTGGTCAATCCTCCACCCACGTTCCGCCCCCCCCCCCCCCCCCGGGGCGAAGGCGCACAACTCCCCGGGTGTCTGGACCGCACTCCCCCCTCCCCGGCCCCCCCCCCCGGCCAGGCGGGCGTCTCTGGGTGTGGCGAGAAAGGCGGAAAGCGCTCTGGGGCGCTATCCTGGGCGAGGGGCGCAGTGTAAGTGCAAGTTGTTGTCGTCGCGGTGTCTGATCAGACTTTGGTTCGAGTGGCGTGTGTGCACACAGGGTGCGGGACTGTGCGGGTGCGGGGGAAGCGGTGGGTGCGGGGCTGTGCATACGACAACGACAACAACAACAACTTGCATTTATATAGCGCCCTCGAGACCGGACGGCGTCTCAGAACGGCGGGGGCTGAGGGGGGGGGGGGTCGGCGCGGTGCCCATGCGCAGTGCTGGCCCGTGGTGAGGGGGGGGGGGGGCGAGAGTCCCAACGGCTCCCGCTCGTGACGGGAAGCCTCGTCACTTGCGCGCGCGCCCGCCCGCCCTTGGCCTCGCCTGGCCTCCCGCTCGCGCCTGCCTCGCGCTCTCTCCTTTTCCCTCCTGGAACCAACGGCCTCTGCCCGGCCTGCGTCACGCTGACGTCAACCAACGGCTGGAGCCCGGGTGACGCAGGGCGGGCGGCGCTCGCTCGCTCGCTCGCGCTCTCTCTCTCTCGCTCTCTCTCTCGCGCTGACTGAGCGGAGGGCGGGAAGCGCCGGCGCCACTCGTGCGTGCGTCACGCGTCACGCTATAAATAGCCTCCACCGCCCCCCCCCCCTCCCCTCCCTCCCGCCCTCTCCCGCTCTCGGTGGAGCAGCTGCGGATTTTTTTGGGGCATCTTGTTTTCCACTGACGACAATCGAGTGAGGAAAAAAAATACAGACACACACACGCGCGCGATGTTATATGTTTATATTTACATTGATAGATATAGATCAGCACAGCGAGAGTGAGTGAGAGAGAGAGAGAGAGGGGGGAATCCTCTCAGCCAACACCGCACACGATGGAAACGGCCCTCGTGGCTTCCCCCTCCCCCCACACACACACACACACAGACACACACAGAGACACACACAGAGACACACAAACAGAGAGGGAGACACAGACACACACAGACAGATAGACACAGACACACACAGACAGAGACACACACACAAACAGAGGGAGACACAGACACACACAGACAGATAGACACACACAGAGACACACACAAACGGAGACACACAAATAGACACACACAGACACACACAAACACAGTGAGAGAGAGGGAGACACAGACAGATAGACACACACACAGACACACACACACAGATAGACACACACAGAGACATCATGCAATGGATCCAATTCGACGTGTGTTTATATTTATATCTATTCACACACACACACACACACAGCAAAAGCTATTCACGCCAATGATTAAATCACCTTTGGGGTGAATGGGTGCTCTCTTTTTGCAGGAGGAGAAGTGAAGCGATTGAAACCAAACGTGTCTTAGACAGACAGACAGACAGACAGGTGTCCTGACTTTTAAAAGGTTACTTTTAAACTTGATTGTAATCCTAAAATGTGTTCACTGCGACCAGGGATTGATTCAGAGATACACAGTATATATAAATCTCTCTCTCTCTATATATATATATATATAATATAGACATACAGCTACAATCAGTGCTATTATTCCTTGGCTGAAAGTTAAGCGACACACACCGTGTTAATAATTTGACCCGTTAGATTACACGGTGGGGGACAGCAGTTTTTGTGCTGCTTTGAAATTTGGAAGAGTATTTCCCACAAAACGCCCCGAGAGAGATCACACACACAGTCTGTCTGACCCACCGGGTTAAATATAGTCCGCTTCCGCACGTATGTCACTATATTTAGTAACTTCCCATCTCGAGGCTGACGCAAATGCTACCCGCCTTCTCTACGCTGTTATGTAAGCTGCTTTTAATCCATTTTGTACAGTCCGTGACCTGGGAGGGGAAAATAAATCTGGGGCGGGTGACAAGAGGGAGGAATTTGCTAAACTTTCCAAACGAGAAACGATTGGGAGGCGGAAAAAAAAAAGAACCGACGTTGCATCTCTCTGATGAGAGGAGAATCCTCCTTTTTATTTTCATCAATACGTTTTTTTTTCACTTTCCCCCCCCCAAAAAAAAACCAAAGTTTTTTTTTTATTCGCCAGAAGGCGTTCGTTTTTTTTTGTGTGGCCCAAAGAAAATCTTAACAATTTTAAAAAATCTTGGGATTTTTCGAGAAATCTCATGTTTAATGATTTCCAATGCGTCAGCTGTATTTTCAAATATTATTGAATAATATATATATATATATTTCAGATGTCTCAACAACATGATAAGACGCTATATGAGATGCAAAGAAACATGGACTGTCCAGCGCCTTGGGACGTCCTCCCAACGTCAATGGCGCTATACAAATGTAATTTTGTAGTATTATTAAATTCACCCCACATTTCGCCCACAAAATATACGGTCAATTCACTTTACAGTATGTTCTGTGAAGCATTTTGAGACATCTCAAAGACGTGATAAGGCGCTATATCAAATCCAAGGATTATTATTATTATTATTACTGCCATTTACTGAACCTGCAGCATTTTCCCCCAACCCCTATTCTTTCCAGGAATAGTTAGTTACCTTACTGCTAATAAAACATGGTAAACATTTATCAGTCTTGAAAAGTCAAACTTGCCTTTTAATTACAGAGATTGACTACTTTTTATTCAACTAATGTAAATTTAATAAAAACACTTTAAATAAAAAGTAATACATAATTTAATAAAATAAATAAAACACTCACACCACAACTGTTTGTGGGACATTGCTGTGTACAAATCGGCTGCTGCGTTTCACCCACAAAATCCAGTCAATCCATTTTACAGTATATTCCATGTAGCGCTTTGAGACGTATCAACTACGAGAGAAGACGCTATGTAAAATAATAATACAGTACTTACATTTGACATCGTGCCTTACCACAACGTTGAGTCGGCTCAATGCACTTAACAGTGGATTGACTATTTTGTAAAATAAAAAAATACTCAAACGCATGGAATATTATTATAATAATGTATCTAAAACATAATATAATATTCTAATATAACTTTTATATTAAATACAATATAAATAATAACATTATTATAATATCCACTTTACGGTATATTCCGTGAAGCGCTTTGAGACATCTCTCAAACGCCGGGATTATTATATATAATAATAACCACTGCATTCGTGAATACATTTTTTTAAAATTAATACTGAGAGCCATTAGGAGTCAGTAAAAATGTTTATTTTAAAAAATGGAACAAGTTGTGTTTTTTTGAGCAGGCTCAATAATAATAACAACAATAATAATCGAACCTGCTCAAAAAGCCACAACTTGGTACCATTTTTAATTTATTTTTTAAAAAACACACATTTTTACTGACTCTTAATGGCTTTCCTTCCCTTAATAATTAATAATAATAATAATAAGGAATTATTGAGAAGGAGGCATTAAGAGTCAGTAAAAATTCCTTATATTATTAATTATTAAGGGAAGGAGAGGCATTAAGAGTCAGTAAAAAATGTTTTTTTTTAAAAAATGGACCAAGTTGTGTCTTTTTGAGCAGGTTTAATAATAATAACAATAACAACAATAACAATAATTGAACCTGCTCAAAAAGACACAACTTGGTACCTTTTTTTTAAAAAAACACACACATTTTTACCGACCCTTAATGACTCCCCTTAATAATTAACAACAATAGAATAATAATAAGAAGAAGAAGCAATCATTAAGAGAAAGGGGAGGCATTAAGGGTCAGTAAAAATCAGGATTGTATTATTATTAATAATTATTAAGAGAGGCATTAATAACACGCCTAATAATAATCCCTCCAAATAATAATCTAATAAAAAATAAACGCCTAATAGTAATCCCTCCAAAACCCCAAAACAATAATAAATTGGTCATTTTCAATCTACGACTGTCTGTGGGACATTGCTGTGCGCAATCGGCCGCCGCCTTCGCCCACAAATATACAGTCAATTCACTTTACAGTGTGTTCTGTGAAGCGCTTTGGGACGTCCTCCCGACGTGAAAAGCGCTGCATCAAATGCAAGGATTATTATTATTAAGAGTCGGTAAAAAATGTTTTTTTTAAAATATATAAATATAAATTTATATATATATAAAATAAAAACAAACCCACACCCACACACAGAGAGAGTGAGTGGAGGGAGTTGGTGGGGCTCTCAGTGTGAGAGAGATGTAAAACGTGGCTGCGGTTGGAGATGCCGGGGATTGAACCCGGGACCTCACACATGCGAAGCGCGCGCTCTACCACTGAGCTACATCCCCCAGCCCGCAGAGCGCTGCCGACTGATGGGCTCACATAGGGCTCGGCCGATCCTCAACCGTCACAGCCCACACGCGTTTCTTTTTATATACACACACACACAGACCCGCGCGCGCATCTCCACCGACTCTTTACGATCCGCCACCGACGTCGGTTCCGTTGCTATTGCCCCACCCCCCCCAGTCGGTGAAAAGTGGCTCTTGAGGTTAGAAAGTGACGGCGGCGGCGGCGGCGGCGGCACTCCCGAGACGACGGGGGTCCCCCGCGAGCGGTCGTTCATTTAAAACGTCGGCCGTTGGTGCTGGTGCTGTGCGCGCGCGTCCATTTTTTCTTAAACCCCCCCCCCCCACCCCTCGTCAGCGTTTTCATTGAAAAGGTTTCGTTCCTATTTCTTTATTTACTTACTTGTTTATCTGTTGACGTTATTTTTATTTGCGTTGTTGTTGTTATTATTATTATTATTATTATTTTTTTAATAAAAATAATTTGCATCGGCCGGGAATCGA